CCCCCAAGGGGGGTGGGGGGGCCCCTGCCAGCGGCAGCTACTTACAGCAGTGGGTGCAGGCAGCAGCGGGGCGGTGGGAGATGGGCAGGCGGGAAGGGAGAGCCCGGGGAGAGAGAGGAGACACAGTTACTGCTCGGGGGGGAGCTGCTGCCCCTCTACACGCAGAAGCAAGCAGGGACAGCGCAAGCCAGCCCTGCTGAGAGACACCAAACACCCCTCTGCCTCCTCCCCACCCCTCAACACCCCCCAGGCCCATTTCACCCCGGAGCATCCATCCAGGACGGCCTGTGATTTTTCTCCAGGGCTCCACGTGAAACTGTGAATTACTTTCTTCATCCCTTTCCTGAGGCTGTTCTGGCTCCTGGCATCAGCCAGCAACAGCCACCCTCGTCCCCTCTGCCACCCCTCCACGGCCTCGCTCCCCCTCCCACAGCTATCCCTGTCCCCCGCGATGCTGACAGCCTTCGCCCCCGTTCCTCACAGCAGGGACTTGGTTCAAAGCTGCCTTTTACTTGCGCTGAACCCTGTGCTCTGCTGCCTGGAGGGCAAGCAGGAGCATCAGCCCACCGAAACCCAGCGCCCCAGCATCTCACCTTGACATCTGCTCCCATCTCCCGCCCTGTCCCTAAACGCGACTCAGCCAGACCGAGCCCCGCGCTGGCACCCTGCCCCGCTCCCCCCGCGGAGCAGAGCCCGGCGTGCAGCAGGCAGACCCTACCGTGTCGCTTATAGATGGGGGGTTTCCGATAGATGTTGCTCTCGCCAGCAGCTGGTGGCCGAAGAAAGAAAGAAAGGAAGGGAAGAAAGAAGGAAAGAAGGAAGGGGAGGTCAGTGTGGGCGTGCTGAGAACGGGCAGGACAGAGGTCCCGCGGGAGATGCTGTCCCCATGCCACGTATCCATCACACAACCGCCTCCAGGTCCACGCGTCCCCCGGGAGTGCAGTGCCGGGCCAGGGCCAGGGCCAGGCAGGCTCCCAGAGGGGCAGCAGGAGCGCAGCCCCAGGGCAGCGGTGCGCACGCAGGACATGCAGTGAGTGCCCCAGCGTCAGCATGCACCGCGGGGCGGCGGGCGCTGCCAGCCCCGGGAGGGAGCGGCACAGCCAGGGACCACCGGCCGCCCCTGCCAGCCGGCAGCAATGCACCACGGCTCGCGCTGGTGCGGTTTCTTGGGGATGCCAGCGCCTGGAAGAACCACCTGCAATCTACCTGGGGGCGAAACAACATCAGCCAAAGCCTCTTTCCACAGCAGAGAGAGAAAAGAGCGAGCTGGGAGGGAAAGCGAGCTGGAGCCTGGCGCTGAGAGCTATGGCCCCCGCGCAGGGGCCAGGCAGCAGAGCTGGCGGAGCAGGGAGGGGGCCATCCATAAAACACTGACCGTCAGCAGGAGGGCAGGGCAGGGCAGGCAGCAGGGCCAAACCCTGGCAACGATGGGACTGAAGCAGGGGACCATGGTGGGGAGCCTCTGGGTGTCCTCACGGTGCCGTCCCAGGGCATCAGCTGTGTATCGTGGAGGGTTCCAGGTTTTGGAGGAGGACAAGGGCAGCGGGAGATGCCTGCAGCTGAGCAGGGTGGTCTGGGGCTCTGCCCTCCCTGCACGTGCTGAAGGATGGATGGGCAGCTCTGCCTGCTTCCCTCCCCACTCTCCCCTTCTGCCCGCTCCGTCCCCATCCCCATGGGCTCTGCGTGGCTGGGAGCGGGTGGTGGCCCTTACCTGGTGGCCCCCTGCAATCCCTGCAGAAGGGGAGCAGGCATCTGGCAAGCCCAGAAGACTCTGGGGGGAGGGAGCGGCGGGGCCCCGGGGGAGTATAAAATAGTCATCTGTAGCGGATGGGTGCGGAAAGGCCTCCGGCAGACACGCTTCGGCTCGTGATCCTGGGGGGGAGGCAGGGGAGGGGGCAGGCTCTCCGCAGGGGACTCGTCTTCGTGTGGGGGGTGGAGGAAGGTCAGGGAAGAGGAAGAAGAGGGATGTTGCAAGGATCAAGCAGACTCCGGGCGGCTCTGGGATGTCCGCGTGGTGATGGGGAGGAAGGAGGGTTCAAGCTGCAGGTCCTGTTTATGGATGGCCTCTACCAGGGGTAGATCCTGCTGCCAGCTGGCTCTAGGCAGGCGGTGGAGCTACGCATGCGACACAGGGGGAACGGCACATGCGGGCATGCCACGGACACGGCGCTTTCCCAGGGACCGGGCACTCCAGAGCCTACCTGGGATGTGGAAATGCTTGGGTGCTTGGTATGAGGTTGGAGTGGAGGACCTCACATCTAACTGGCTATAGTATGGGGAGCTGCGCCCGCTCTCGGTGCCTACACGGTGCCGAGCAGAAGCAGCCATAAGTGACCGAGAGAGAGAACAAGAGGCAAAAGAAAACGGGTGTTAAATGCAGCGGTGTTAGAAGAGCGGGGGGCAACCCATGACGTGCGCCAGGCCGTGGTCCAGGATGGGGCGTGATGGAGTGGGGGAAGAGTTCCCGCATCTCTGGAGAAAGGCGGGATGCAGAGGAAAGCCCGTGTGCGGGTGCTGTTACAGGGCAGTAGGCTGCCCTGCCGCTGGTGAGGGGAAGCCGAGCGTGCTGCAGAGGCAAACGGTGACGGGCCCTTGGCGGTGCAGCGTGCGGGTAGCTCGGGGAATGCGGGACCTCTGGAATTACTGACCTTGGATTTTCCCCAGTTGTTCCTCCCCAGCTCCAAAGGACAGGATACATGGCACTGACACACTCTGCTTCCCCCCAGATACGCTCCGGGGTATGCACACGTGTGTGTGTAAGGACCCCCCCTGCAGCACTGGCTGGGCACAAGCACTCCCGTGCACACCCATCCCAGAGCTACCAAGCCAGCTGAGGGCTCTTCACTGGACCTGGGGGTCACCTCTCTCCCCACCCCATTCTCCATGAGCTCAGGTCTGAAGCAGGACAAAGCCCCCTCAGCCTCTCCTTGCTGCTCGCAAGACAAGAGTCATGGGAACCAGAGGATGCATGCAGCAGAGTTGGTCACTGCCCCACAGCTCCTGTTGCTGTCAGCTCCCCACAAATCCCCCCCCCCCCAAGGCCTCCTGCTTGCTTGCCAGAGGAGGGACCACTGAAGTCCCTTGGGAGAAGCAGGGAACAGTTTGGTGATCCCCTCTCCACTTGAGGGTCTGAACTTAGCCCAGCTGGGGGTGGCAGCTGAAATTCTCACCTGAGCGGTAGAAATGGTGGGGGGACCTTGGGATGGTGGGGGACATGCCCTGGCGGCTGTAGGTGGGGGAGTCGATGTAGCCAGGGCTGGAGGCTCGCCTCTGCCGCGTGTCAAAGCTCTCGTAGATGTCCTGGGGACGGGGAAAGGCATGGAGAGAAGCAGCGTTAGAGCTGGCGGGATGAGGCAAATCAGTGCCTTGGCAGCCCTGCAGGGAGGTGTCCCATGGATGGGGGTCCCCGAGCTTGTGGCAGCCTGGGAGGGTGCACGCTCTGCGGTGTGACATGCCAGGCAGCGTGCGTGTCCTCTGTGGCTGGAGGGGGTCCCCAGGCTGCTCTGCCTCCCCACTGCCAAAGTGCAGGCAGCAAAGCCCAGGGTTTGGGACCAGGTGACAGTGTCTGGCCAGAGGCTTTCAACCCCTTGCCTGCAGATCGTCCCCTTCCCCTGAGCTTGCTCCCAATTACCAGCATCCCCCTCTGCAGGGCAGAAGCTGCACCCTGGGTCCACTCTACCATGGAAGGTTTGAACGCTGCTCTCCTCGGGGCCTGAAGGACAGGGCCCTCCTGGACAGGGTCCCCCCATCTCCCCCCACCTCGGGGCAGCACCCAGGTGGGGGGACATTCCGCAGAGCCCCAAAGGTCAGAGGGACACCCTGTGGCTGCAGCAGGTGACAGACACCTCCCCCCCCGGTGCCCACCGGGGCATTACCTGCGAGTACGGGGAGAGGGTCCCCAGGGACTGGAGGCAGCAGGAGGCAAAAAGGGGAGAGAGACAGAGAGAGAGACAGCACACAGTTAGGGGGAACAGTGACAGACGGGGCCCTGCACTGGCTCCTTTTCCCCGTGTTACAGCCTGATCGCAGCTGCCAGGCAGCGAGGGCGGCTGCTGGCACGGCCGGAGCTGAACTCTGGCAGGACGCTGGGCTGGGAGGGGCTGGCCGGGAGGGGAGCTGGCGTCAGGATGGCACCTCCTGCATCAGCAGCCTGCACCCCTTCTCGAAGGCCTCGGTGGAGCGGTTGTAAGGGGGGAAGGCGGCTGCTGGCCCCGCCGTGCTCCACAGCGGGCCATGGCCATGCTGCTGGCACCTTCACTGGCTGGGCCGGAGGAAACCAAACTTGTGACAAGCCTTGGGACTGGAGATGTAAGAGATGCTGCTGCTGGCCATTACAAAGTCTTCTTCCAGGACCACCTCAGGTCCCCCATCTCTGTGTGAGCTGCTTGGGACCTCTTCTTCCATGGACTTTCTGAAATCATCCAGCAGCTCCAGCCTGCCTGGGGGAGCGGGGCAGGGCAGTCCTGTCCCATGTGCTGCTTGGGCATCATCTCATCACATACTTGCCCTGACCAAGCCTCCCTTCCTCCTGGCTGCAGGGCCAGCACCCAACAGGGGCAGCCCTGCTGTGCTCCAGAGACCCCGTGCTGGGCCTGGGTGGCCAGGAGGATTGCCTGCCAGGGGCCAGGCTTTGGGCTGAGCCCGCCGACCCTCTGCCCCTCCACCCCGGAGGCTGTGAGGGGTGAGCTCCCTGCCACATCACTCCCGAGGGCGACGTCTCCTCCTACGCAGCGCTGCTCGTCCCCGCACGTCGGGTCTGCGGCACAGTGTGGGCAGGGTGCCACCATCAGCTGATAAGGTCACTGGTTTCTTTCTTACTTTACAGCAACAGCACCACGATTTCCCTTCCAGCTCAGGCCCTCTTCCCAGTGATGGGGAGCCTCTGGAAGAGGTCTTACCCCCTCTCCTGCCTCCCTACGGTATTCCTGCCGGAGTGAGCAAGCCTGCATGCAGTTTTCCCCATTGCCCCAAACTGGGGTCCAGCCCCCTGCGCAGCTCGGCATTGGGCATATCGAGACTCCAGTACCTCCCCATAGCTATATCTCTCCAGCGTCTCATCCGATGTGTATCTGTGATAGGGCTCGTAGGAAATGAGGTCAGGACGCTGCACTTCATAGATGGCTTTAATCTTGGGAAGAGCTGCCAGGTCTTTGTAATTAAGGATCTCATTATCCACTTTAGCCTAGGGAGAGGGAGAGAGAGACAGAAAGGAAGAGGAGAGAAGGAAGGGGACACTGGAGCACATGATGTGGAGCCAGCACAGAGCAGACAGAGCCCACCATCACCCCAGCAGTGGGAACAGGTAAGAGGAGATGCCCGAGAGGCAGCAGTGAGAAGAGGCAGAGGAGCTGGGAGCATGGGACCGTGCCTCTCCGAGCGCTCCTGGTCTGTGCCAACAGCACTGGTGGCATGGCTTGCCGCTGGGGCGAGGGGCACGGCTTGTCCATGCTGTCCCCAAACACTGGGCTTGTCCCCAGGAGACGCCTCACACTGCAGAGCAGCACCAGGAACTGCAGCTCCCTCCCCTGGGGCCGGAGCATCCGTCCTGCCCCGCGCGGGCGAGAGGCTGAGCTGTACTTACGCAGATGACGCGGTTTGGGGAGCCGATGCTGGAACCGGGGGGCGAGATAGAGGTTTCTGATGTCCTTCTGTGCTGTGGAGGCAGAGAAGCAGAGGACGGGTGAGAGCACAGTGAGGAGGGACCCCCAAACAGGCACAATGCTGGGCACAGTGAGCAAATCGCTGTTTTTGGAGCTGAATCTCACTCAAGGTCCAGTTTGTCTGCCCTTTCATCTGCTTGCTGCCAGTGCCCACAGCCAATACAGACTGCCCTGGCCATCCAGCTTTGTGCCCTGGCCTCTCTCGGGAATCAGGCGAGTGGCCTGGCTGGTAAAGCCCAGTGGGCAGCTGCCCCCGTGGCCAGCCGGGTGCAGAGCAACAGCTCGAGGGGTGCAGGGGGTCCGTGAGGGGACTGCTGTGCCCCCTCCCCGGCTGTGGCATGGGCTGGTGCCAGCCACGAGGCAGGTCCCCATGAACAGCCTCGGCCACGGCCACCGCCATCCTCTGGGCAGCAGGGACAGAGCTCGTGCCAGTCTCAGGAAGTCACCCCAGGCTTGGCCACTGCCACAACATTCACCTCCAGCAGGGACTCGGGGGCAACATCACCTGGGATGTGCCACCTCTCGGAGATGCCCCTCACCCTGCTGCCTACCTTTAGTTTCTTCTCTGCTCTGGCCGCCTGCTTGCAGATGGGGTGCCACACTTCGGAGCCTGCAACGCAGCAAAGGGAAAGTGTTTCAGCTCCATGCACAGCTCACCTCTGCTGCTAGGTATCATCCAGCTCCCCCTGCCATGGGGGAGCCCTGTCCCATCCCTGCCATCTCCAGCACTGACCTGCAGCCCCGGGGGGGGATGTGTCAGTGCTCCCCCTTAGCAGCATCTGCATTGAACAACCAGTGTTATAGGAGTGCAACCCCTGCATGCTGGGGGGGGCAGCTCCTGGGGGGCCCTGCAGGGGCAGGAGGTAGGAACCAGAGCCTCTCCATGGGGAGCAAAGCAGGAGGGAAGCGGTGAGCGCCGAGGATGCAGAGGTGGGAGTCACCTTCTGGGTTCCACTGCCTTTGCTGGGTGCCTTCTCCACTACAGTGCAGCCACAGGCACGCACCCACTGGGAAGGCAGGGCAGTGGAGACTGGGTGTCCATACTAAGAAACTAAACAGCTCTCAAGCACCGAGATGTAGTGGCCAACTCTACTAAACTGTGATGGCAAACCTGGGCATGTTTTTGGGGCAGCCCAGTGCTTAACCAGCTCCTGCTGGTTAAACTCGGGGTAACACTGAGCCTGAGGCACCCAGAGCCCCTCGCTGGAACCAGCAAAGCCACTAAGTTCACCCAGGCGTGCCTCAGGATGGATGCTGAGCACGCCCATCCTGCTGCCCACAACAGGGCCTTGCTGGGACCCCCACTCCGGCTCTCTCAGCACAGAGTTCTTCCTTTGCCACCCACAGGGTCATTAGTGACTCAGGGTGACAGGCAAGCACAGGCTACTAAGAGAAAACAAACCCTCCCTCTGTGCTGGAAATAGCCCCTAGGGCAGCTCCAGGCAGGGATGAGCTCCTTGCCAAAACCAAACTCAAATCATCCAGCTGTGCCAAGCGAAAGCCTAACCCCTCCAGTGCTGCTTGCAGCGTAACCTGGATGAGGGGAGTTGGGGGCGGTGGGGAAGGGGTCCTGGACCACCTCCTCTGGGGCTGGGGAGAGTAGGGAGCTGGTCACCTTGCACCCATCCCAGCCTCTATTTGCTGGGTGCAGGCCAGGGGCACATCCAGGCATGCCCGGCAGTGCTCCCCAGATGTGCAGGGAGCAAAAAGCTGACCACAAGGAACAAAGTCTCCTCCAACTCAGCAGCAGGGAATGTTTCGTGGAGAGAAGCAATTGCCACACAGCCCAGGAATAGCCCAGGGGCTGGAAAGCAGTGGAGAGGGGTCTCTGGCATTGCTGGTGGGCACTGGGACTCTGCTGTGGAGAGACTCTTGGCTTCAATCACCATAAGGACCTGAACCCCAAGTGCCCCCACAGCCAGCACACCTCCACCCAGCCACGCTGGTCCCTCCTGACCACAGCAGGACCCCTACCTGTGAGGTACATCTCCTCCCCTTCTGTGAACATCTGGTGGCAGCGGACACATCTGGCACAGGTGGGGTGGTAGTGCTTCCCTCCTGCCTGCAAAGGCGAGCGGAGAAGAGGGGCCCCTGAGCAAGGCAGGACATGGCGACCTGCTCGCATCCCTGGCGGCCCTCTTTGTTGCAGGCAATGACAAGGTGAAATGTGGCAAAATTGCTCCGAGTGGCCTCAGAGACCACTGCAGCGTAGAGAGAAAACCAGAGACCACTTCATCACTAATGCTTCTGCAGGACTATGAGCCAGACTGGGACCCTTCTGCTCTCCTTGAACTGTTCAACACACAGGAAAGCAGAGCTAGGAGGTCCCAAACAAGGTAGCCCTAGAAACCCCGTCCCTAATACATTGTCCTTGGACCTGCTAATAACCGAGCCCCCCTGCAGTAACGCTCAGCCAAGCAGCCATGCTTTGCACCAGCTCCTTCTCTCTACAGGTGTGAAGGGAAACAGCAAATCTGGCCCAGGACGTCACAGCAGGGAAGAATTAAAGGGAGAAGGGCCCCAGAGATAAACCTTGCAAAGCACAGGCTTCCTCTTGCTGTCAGATCCCCCCTGGCTACCATTGCCAGCCCCTCTGCCTCAAGAAACTTTTCTCCTTCTGCGAAGCCATGCCCAAACTTCGGCACTAGTGACATGCTATTCCCCAGCTGAGCAGCAGCTGGGCTGCTCCCTTTGCTCTTTGGCAGGGATAATAGCTTTAATTGGTAGCTTGTTTCCACTCAAAGTATCTGCTAGCATTTCAATTACAGGCTCGTTTTCTGGGCTGGGAGCTGGGAGGCAGGAGCTGGCTCAGGGCAGGAGGAATCTGGGCTGCACTGTTAGAGCTCGACCCCAAAGGACATTCTACTCCCATAATAATCCAGGAGAAGAGGAAGGATAATTTAAGGTGGTAGAAGGAAGACCAGGCTCTGGCTGACAAAGGGGACGGTTATGATAGAGGGGGCTGGAGCCAGTTTGAAACAGGGAGGATCAACAGGAAAATTTGCTGCGAGGATAACTGAGAGTCTGCCAGTGGATTGCCCATAAAAATCAACCTGGAACTCAATGTCCTTGGGGTACAGATGGCAGCCAGTTAGCTATTTCCCTTCAGTTTATGCCAAAAATGAGTGGAAGGTTTTAGGGCAGGCAGGGGAGATGAGTAGGAGAGTTTGTACCTTGCAGTTGCAAGTGCACCTCAATCCAGGGAGGGGACAGCCCTGCGCCCCAGGCACCTCCTCATGCAGTTGGCAGCAGCATAACATACTCCTGGGCTGGCCCAAGTGAGCCCACAGCCCAAATGTCCCCAGTTCACACCCAACAGCTCGATGACATGGCAGGGAAGTCCCCGGTGGCAGGGCTGGAGACTCAGGCTCACCGCGGGTGCAGATGAGCAGCAGGGAAGGCCCCAGCCCTGGTCCCCCAGGCTCTCCAGTGGGACACCAGAGGTCCCCATGGCAGCCCCAGAAAGCAGCCACCCTGAGCCCCAGCCCACCCACAGTGCCCCATGGCAGGGGCTCGCACTGAATGCTTTGCCAGCCCGAGCAAATGCTACAGCTGGTTTCAGGCTACACAGATCATAAACCAATTTTACCCCTAAAAGCCTCATGCAGAGCTCCCAGTGTCACTGACTCCATGCCAATGGGCTCACTGAGTCTCAAGCCTGTTGCTCCAGGAGGTGACCCACCAACCCCGCCATGGCAAAGGCTCCCTAAGGACGGCTGGTTCCTCCTGCGCTGCCCAAGCGCCTCTGCACACCCCCCGCCTGGGCAGCTGCCCACCGCAGCACCACGCCAGCACCCCCCGCCACAGGCTCCCACCAGCCCGCACTGCGCGCCCGGGACAGGCACCCCTTAGGCTTGTGTGCCTGCGGCTCCCCTCACTGGTATTTCCAGCTGACTTGAGACAGCTCATGCTGGGGACACGGGGCCCTGATGGCTGATGGGCCATCTCCCGCAGTCCTCTATATCTGGGGTGGGTTTGGTGCTCTTGGACACTCTTAGTAGCCCCATTGCCTTGGTGCGCTGACAGTAGTTAAAAAAACCCCACCCCAACTCTTCATCTCTAGACTACACGGGCTGCTGGCACAGGTCAGGATGCTTTGCAGAGCTGGGGGCGTAGACGTGGAGCAAGGCTGGCTGCTCGCGCGGGGACACGTACCAGCTCAGTCACGACTTTAATTTCAATACAGACCTTCTCCAAAAACACTCAACACCCCCCAACCCCCGCCTTGAGGAGCAACTCTCCAAACTGTGCACAAACCTTGCGCCTTTTACATTGGTTAAAATTACAGCTCATAAAAGGCTGGTAGAGGCTGCGAGGGAAGAGACCTGCTCGTTATCGCTTGCGGTCCCTTAAAGACTCATTAATCATCCAAGCCTGGCTGCACAGCTCCGAGCGGCTGGGAAAGCCCGGAGGCTGCTGCAATAGCACAAGAAAGCTCCTCAAGGCCTAACATTATTTAAAGGCGCCCTTTTCCATTTTGTGCTCTGCTGGAGAAGACAATTAAAGCCTCTGGTTTTACAGGAGATCATTCGACACTGTGAGCAGGCACATACCCGGGGAGGGCGGGGAGCACAGGCTGAGCCCTGGCCGTGGGGAGGCAAGGGGTGCTCCGACATCCTTGTCCAGCACAGCCCCCCAGCACCCAAACCCAATGCTCCTCTCGGCTCCATGACAGTGCCTGTGAGGAGGCGGCACCTCAGCTCTGCCCGCAGGAGCCCCGGCGCCGAGGCACATTACTTCTTGCCCACTGGAGTCTTGTCATGCAAGGAGGGCTCCGATGCCCAGGCGTGGGTGCAGCAGGCAAAGTGCCAACGCAAGATGATGGCTGTTCAGAGCATCTCGTGGGGTTCAGGCAGCATCTTCCCACAGCCCGTCAGAGCTGGCCAGCCACTCCAGCCAGGGAGAGCTCATGCTGGGAGCAGAGCTGGGACAGGGCACAGGGGAGAGGGCAAGGACAAAGCTGTAGGGAATGCGGAGCTAACGCTGGGAGAACAGCCAGGGGAGATGGAGGCAAGGGAGAGCGGGAAGGCTGCCACTGCCCCGGGGCCATCTCCAGCCTGCAGGCAGGTGTCACGCCCGGCAGAGCTGCTCACTGTCCATCCCCTCAGACATGCAGCAGCAGAAACACCCCGACTCCACTGTGGTTGTGCCAAGTGAGGAAAACCCTGAGAACAGTGCAGCGAGGAGGCAGTGGTGCCTGAGGGTGCTGGCCGGGCTGGCAGCACAGCCTCTGAGCTCAGGGCAGGGTCCCAAGTCCCCTCTGGCTCCTCTCACCTGCCCTCATATGCTGAACCCCAGCCTGCTTGGCCTGCTGGGGTGGCTGAGGATGCTTCTGTCCTGGCAAGGGGTTATTGGGGACCAGACTGCCCAGGGGAGCAGCAGCAGGGATTCGACCCCGGGGGACCCTCTGGCTTCACCCTGCCCTGCTCAGATGCTTGCTGATCAAGTGGCCCCATGGCGGGCAGCCGGCCCCTGACAGCTGCTGCAGCACCGAGCTCACACTCACAGCAGCCAGTGCCAGGACCTGCCGAAGCCTGGAGTCAGCAGAAAGCATTCCCAGGCACAGACAGCTCCCTGGAAAGGGGGAAGATACTGGAGGGCTCCTGGCATCCAACTCCAGCTTCAGGCCAGCCCAGCTGGCAGGACCAGATGGGGTGACCACTTCTCGGCAGGCTGTGAGGCTGGAGATGTCTTGGAACAGCCCTCAGCATGCTGGAGACCTACACAGCCACTGCCACTCCAGCCCACACCACCTGCGGTCTGGCTCGCTGCGGAGCCACAGTACCTCCGATTCTGGGATACAGCTTCCTATCGCTGCTGTCTGGAGATGGCAATGTGTGGGTGCCAATGCCACCCGCATCTTCCCTTCCCATGAAGGGAAGGTCTTAGGAGTGACTGGGCACACTTTCAGCATTGTTGCCTCTCTACACCACCACAGCCCAGCCCCACAGCATCACCAGGGGGTCTAAAAATCACAACAGGTTTCATTCTGACATCTTTCTCTCTGCCTCCTGAGCCTTTAGTTTACCCTCAGACCAGATTTTCCAGCTTTTTCTTTTCCCCTGCAAATGTTGGGGTAGAAACAGAAAGCAAACACCTCCAGCAGGGACCGCAGGAAGGACCTGACTGCCTGGCTGATGGGATGGACCAGCCCTGACGGACCTCCCTGCCCGTCCCCAACAGCAAACCCCACTCCCCCCACCCCTGCTGGCTGTGCAGCTCCATCATCGCCCAAAACATCCTCCATAGCCACCTGCACCCATGCCTTGCCGTGGGATCTTCATGGGATCCCTGCATCCCTTGGTAGCTCTGCCAGAGCAGCTCCTGCTGGCCAGCAACGTGATAAGCAAAGCCCCCTCCGGATTTGGCCCAGGGCAGGGGACCCCCTGCTCAGAGGCTGTCCTGCAAAGGGGTGTGCGTGGGGACGGCTGCCTGCAGGCAGGGTGCTGCAGCCCCTCGCCCAGGCTCCGCAGCGGGCAGCCAGGCTGGATGCGTTTCCAAGGCAACAGGCAGGCTGCCTGCACAGGGATGCGCTCAGAGGCAGGATGGGGCGAGCACGGTGGGGACACTCCCGAGCCAGGCATGGTAGTAAGCTGGTTAAGGCTGATGTCCCCACATCTTGGGCTCCAGAACACACCCCAGCACACCCGGGCCACCGCGTGCTCCGGATGCTTGTGGAGCTCCAGTACCCAAGCCACCTCTCTGAAGGTCTGCAGTGTGGTATAGCTCCTTCCCCCACTCCCACCCTCCAGAGAAGGTGGCCAGGCTGTGTCCACGCACCCACTGCAGGAGGAGCCATGGCCCCGAGAGACCAAGGGCAGCATGACAAGCGTGCAGGATGATGAAATACCCACGCCTCCCCAGGGCACCTCGGGGCAGGACGCACGCAGTCCCTATTCCAGACCGGGATGGGGTGGCTCTGGCGCTGGGACTCACCTCCAGGACCCTGCCACTGATGTACCGGTCACAGGTCTCGCACTTGATGCCAAACTGGGCGTGGTAGTCAGACTCGCAGTAGGGGACACCATCCCTTTGGGAAAGGGAGGAGAAGGGGGTGAGCAGGGGGTGGGCCAGGCTGGGCACCCCCTCACTGCAGCCCCAGCCCCGGGGGGCACAGCCCGGTGACGGCCAGCACGGCCAAGCCTGCCACCAGCACAGCGGCACTCACTTGCTGATGTACTCGCCGGTGAGGATGATCCCGCAGGTTTGGCACTTGAAGCAGCTGACGTGCCACTGCTTCTCCAGGGCCAGGAGGGACTGGCCTTGCTTGATCTCCTCCTTGCAGCCTGCACAGTCTGGGGGGACAGAAGATGGGGGGCACAAATGGGACCACTGCAGCAACCCAGCGTGGGGCTCAGCAGCATGGCAGGAACACCCACATCTGCTGGCCCAGGCACCCTGGCTATTTAATCCCACGCACCCCTCGCACTTGGAGGAAGCCCTGCCCGAGGACCTCCTTTTCTAGGGGGTGCTGCTGTTATAAAACCCCCACTCCTGAGACCACTCCAGGGACAGCCCCTTGAGGATCATTTCTTTATGGGGAATCACTTCTTTACGGGAATATGCCACCTCTGCTTGTTGCCAGCAACGGAGCCAGGAGGAAAGCCTCCTGCTGGATTTGGGACCTCCGAGGCACTGCTGGCACCCAGCCAAGCACCCACCGAAGCACAGAGCTGGGTCTCCCTGCCGAGCCCGAGCCGGGGCGAGTGGATGGGCTGCCAGGGCCGTGCTGCCCTGGCAGGTCCCTGGGGGCTGCCCCCCGGGCCGGGAGCAGTGGGAAGTGTCCGGCAGCGAGCGCAGCAGAGGAAGGGCTGTGCTCTCCGGCAGCCGCGTCCGGCCCCGCTGCGGTATTTACGAGACTCCCTTCCTTCCCCGCTTCCCCTGGCTCTGGCCAAGGCTGGGAGCAGGAAGCACATGGGCCTCGGACCCCTGACCTTGACTCCTCCTTGTCCTCTTCTCCCCCGGGGCAGCAGGTTTGCCCGGATGGGGTTTCTCCTTAACTCCCTCCCTGCCACCACACCAGAGGTGCAGCAGCACCGCAATGGCAGCCGGAGCAGGCAGGCTTTTCTACTCAGCCCATCCCCAGGCAGCTCTGCACCAAATCCCTGCCTGCTGGGCAAAGATAAGTGGGGGAGTGGATTTTTGACCCCTGGCAAAAAGCAGGCTGGCCAGCTCAGCTGAGCCAGGATCCATTCCCTCTCTCACACAAGTGCTGCTGGGTTTCTTTTGTTGCTGGCAGGACTGGGGCTGCAGGGCAAGGCTCAGCACCCTTCTTTCTAGGGATGTGCCCTCTGCAGAGTGCACCAGTGTGGGCTGCAGCAGGCAAACCTCCCCTGCCACCCTGTCAGGGTGGCACTGCCAGGGCACCTGGGCCGCAAGGGGCACGGGCGGGCAGCAGGCGTCCTCTGGCTGCTGCCTGCAGCTGCCTATGAATAAAGCATGGTGCCCTCAGGTAACCCCGCTCTGCAGGCCAGGGAGGAGCGCTGGCGGGAAGGGGACGGGAAGGGGACGGGAAGGGAGAGGACAGCAGGCACGAGGCAGAGTGTGTGGCTGCCCTTCCCCTGCCCTGCTCCACCCTCGGGCTGGGGCTCACTCAACCCCTGCCACATCCCCTAACCGCACCGAGGCCACCATGAGAGCTGGGGGGAGGCAGCCTGGGGGAGCTCCCATCAGCACCAACCCACAGCTCAATCCAAAGAGCCACCACCAGTGCTGCCACAGTGACCGGCTGACAAGGACCATGGGTGACACCACAGTCCTGGGTCTGTCCCTGGCTGCAGGGCTCTGCTCCAGGCACTGATGCTCCAAGGCTTGCGGAGCTGCAGCAGCAAGGGCCCCCGCCCGCCCCCCCAGCTCAGCCCGCTGACATGGCAGGGTTTGGGCACCGTGGTGTGGCTCAGCTCCCGGCTCTCCCTGCCCTCTGCCACCTACCCACGCACCGCACTGACACAGCTCCCCTGGGACTCGCCAGCAGCAAACACGGGGCATATGGGAGACAGGGAAGCGTGGACATCAGCGCCGCAGTCCCCTCGCTCTGGACACGGGCTGAAGCGAGCCCTGTGTGCAGCAGCTCCACGCTGCAGGGATGCTCTGCCAGCCCCCGAGCACAGCACCCACGGGATGCTCCGCAGATGCCCATGGCAGAGAGCCAGCAGCAAGGAAAGGCTGGGGAGCAAAGCCCCTGAGAGGGGAATGGCATGAAGAGAGGGTAACCCAAGGAACAACCTGGGGTCAAAATCAAGGCCAAATCCACCCAAAAAAGCCTGTTTATTGCTCTTGCTATCCATTGCTCTTTAGCTTAGGTTCATCAGAGCAAGGGGGTGAGTGTAAGAAGCCTTTTCAGTGCTTGTAGATGCAGCAAGTTAACACCAGTGTTGGGAATGCCGGGTGAGTGGTCCTGAGGCTGGCACTCAGAGACCTTGGTGCAGTGGGACACAAAGCAACATCTGGGCACCACCTCAGAGCAAACCCAGCTCCAAAACCTTCCCACTGCCCGAGGCATTGCCTGCAGGGGAGACAGCACCTGCCCAGGTCATGAACAGGCCAAGGGAGTTTCCGAAACCAGTGGTGACCTGCAATCCTGGGTGGAGCCATGTGACTACCCTGTTCCTCCTTCAAAACATCTGCAAACACCCGTGGCTCTGTGCAGCACTGCTTGCTGGCCCCAAAGCCCATCCTGTCACCTCCCCAAGCACCGGTCCAGGAGCAGGCGGTCCCTCTCCTTGGAGCAGTCGCGTAACACAGGAGCAGTCAACTTACGGCTGGGCCCGTGGATCTTGATAGGTTTGGTGCTGATGAGAGAATGGGAACAGTTCTGGCAGACACAGTCCTTCCCGCTGAATGTGACCTTGTCTCCAATTGGGAATGGTTTCCTGCGGCCAAAGAAAAGGTGGGGAGGCATGAGCCGCTTGCTCCTCTCCATGCAGCATTTGGGGCTGCCCAGGGCCAGCAGGACCCATGGTGCCAGGGAGTGGAGGGGCTACAGGTGAGGGCTGCAAGGGGAGGCAGGGAGTGTGCAACACATGCCGGGGCAGGAGGACCAATGCAGGCGTTAAGGCAGGTCTTCAGGCTGCAAAGGGAAGGGTCGGAGCCATTTCATTGCTTCCCAAGGGTTTGCACCAAGAAAACACAGAGGAGGTGCCTGCTGCAGTGCTGAGCAGGGAACAAGGGGCTGTGGGCTAATGAACACCCCTCTCCCTGGTGCACGGCCAAGGGCTGCATGGGGGGCTGCGTGCCCTCAGAGATGGCTTCAGCTCACCTGCAGGTGCTGCAGACAAAGCACTTGGGGTGGTAGGTCCTCCCCAGGGCGGAGATGACCTCTCCGGTGATGAAGTCCCCGCAGCTGTCACAGCGGGTCCCGTAGAGCTGCTGGTAGTCATGGGTGCAGATGTACTCCTGGTTCTTAAAGAAGAAGCCCGACTGGGCCAGGTCGCAGCCACACACTGTGGGGGGAGGACACGCATCCGTCAAGGGGCAGCAGGCAGGTTTATGGCCGGGATCTCTGAGCCCACTGCTGCTGCATCTCAGAGGGTTTCCCTTCCCAGCAGACACGCTGGGGCCTTCCCCCAGCACCACAAGATGTCAGTGTCGGGCTGTGGCAGGGTGCGGGATAGAGCTGCCCAGCCAGCCAGGGCTGGGCACTCCCAGAGGAAACCCCAGAGCAGGGAGGGGAACCCCTGCATCCCCCACCCACCTCGCACAAACAGCCCAGGAGGGTCCGTGGCATCTCCTCCTGGACCCACAGCACCTGGATGGGGCTCAGCCCCTCCATTTGACACTCACAGGGTGTTGGGAAGCCAAGAGCAAGACAGCAAAGAGTTGGGCATGCCCTAGGACAGCTGGGGAGAGGTCTTCTCCACGCCCTGGGACGTGGCCTTCTCCATAATGAGCTATCTCCACTCCCTGGCCTGGATACGAAGCCATGCCCTAACAGGAACAGGTCCTGGGACACACTGGGGTTGGTGCTCTCACTGCTTGTTTTTCCATAGTGTCCAGCCCAACCTCACTTCCTTCCCTGCTGTGGGAACCATGGGTGGTGCACAGCCCATCAGAGTAACCCAAGGAGACGTGGCAAGCCCTGGCCCTTAGTGTCATTTCCCTCCTATGCCTTCACCATCCACAGAGACCTTGAGCATGTCAGACCCTAGAAGGCACCTCAGAAACAGCACAGGGACCAGGTCCTAGGGCCTTTGCACGATGCCCATCGCCTGTTCTGCAAGGTCACAAGAAGGGGGGACTGCAGAGCAGCTGAGCACCGGCTGGCACAGCCCATCGTGGTCTCTGCTTTACACCCCAGCACCCCTCTGTCCTGTCCCCACACACCTCACCTGCGCCCCTGGGCCAGTCCACACAGTGGCCACCCTCCCCGGGGCACAGCCGGACCCACAGGGGCAGAGAGGCAGCTCCCCCCCAGCAGAGCAGCCCCTGCAGAGCTGCTCCCCAGAGCTGGGGGCAGACGGCCAGGGCGTGTGGGGCCAGCACCCACTGCTCTCCAGAACAGCCTGCCAGCATCTCCCCACCAGTGACGAGGGACCGGCCACCAGCTCTGGGGCAGCAGCAGGAAGCAGAAGCAAGTAAAAGCAAGGCAGGTCTGGGACCCTTTTGGTGTGGGACCCAGAGCACATCCCCCGAGGCTGCACCAGCCATGCCAGGCTCCTGGGGACTTGTTGGGGACAAGCTGTGGGGCTGGCGTGGGAGCTGGCAGCAGCCAGCCTGAGGTGGCAGGGGGTGCGAGCTGTGAGGGAAGGTGAGACAGGAGGATTTCCTCTCATTATTTATTCCCTTTCACTTGGAAATCAGACAGACAG